CTCCCTGTTTGGGGTGAGTGCTGCTTTTTCCTTACCTGGGATGCTGCTGCGTGAGTTCAAGCTCCTGGGAGTCCCTGTTTTTCTTGGTTTTCTGCGGTTGGGTACGGAGCTGCTGCCTGCGACCTGCTCTAGGCTCGGTCCCAAACCCTAGGGTTTTTTTTTTTAATTATGAGAGATTTACCAGAGGGTCCAGTACGTGGAGAGAGAAATCCATGGACAACTAATCTCTGCTCCTTGGGGCAGACAACAGGGGCTGGGATAAAAGAACAGTGCTTCTCTAGAATGTATGAGGTGGTGGAGCTTCTCAGGGCAAAGATATCCAGAATGAGGATTGGTAGAATTTCAAGTCCTGAGCATGAAGGGCTCAAGGTTGATGGATTCTACTGCTCAGGGATTGGTAGGATTTTGTGGGAAGCTCAGTGATTGGTGGATTTTGCTGCTCAGTGATTAATGGCTTATTTTCATCTCCTTTTCCCAGTATCTGGCTGTGGGTTAGGATGGGAAGTTTTTCCCTGTTCCACCTGGCTTTGCTGAGGTACCATCTCTGTGGGGCTGCTGGGGAGGCTAGAGAGTAGCTGCTGCCACTGTGGACAGCATCTGTGGCACAGCTCCTACAGTGGTATTTCACCAAGGCTGTAGGCTGAGGGAAGATACATGGGGAAACTGAACAGCTCCTCATGACTGCAGTAGTCTGAAGAGCAAAAAGTGTTGCCATCTTGGACAGCTCAAGTCATGCAGCTGAGTTGAGAAAGGTGAAGTGCCACAGTGGAGAGCTTGTGTGAGGCTGTAGGCTTCTGTAAGGGCGGTTGACTGAGGAGATGTCCTGGTGCAGCCATTTGGACAAAAACTTCCATTTTGACTTCTCCTTTTGGGCTAGGCAGAAGGGCATCTCTCTGGGACCCTAGGCTTGGAAAGGAAGGAGGGGCTTGCTGCTGCTTTGACAGCTTTGTGGTGCACCGCTCAGGGACTACAATGATGAGATGATGTATGAAGAACAATGGTGGCATTTCACTTCTGTAGTAGACAATAACATTACTTTTAAAAGAAATCATCATTTTTCTACTGCAGGTGCAGAGGTTCATTTCAGGTTCCTGTGTGTGACATTCTTGGTAACACATCTGTACGCATAGCATGATACCCAGCCCTCTGTCCACATCCCGGCTGGCTGATCTTCACCTCCACACACAATGCTAAAATCAGCAGCCTTTCAGCTTTTATATTCTGGATCCCTTGACAAAAGTTCCTTTCTGCAAACACTGGTTGATGTTACTGTTATGTGTGATGCCTACATAAATAGCCCCAAAGTTACTGTCAGTGTTATGTATGTTGTGAACCTTGCAGAGAGTTTTCTTATTTTTTCTTTTCTTTTCTTTTTTTTTTGGAGAAGAGAGGAGATGTCAGTGGCAGCCCTGCTTATACACTGAAGGCCTAAAATCAGCAATAGGCCTACACCAAGTCTTGGATATTTGTGGGAAAACATTGAAACAGATGGCTATAAGCTATTGTAAAAAGACAGCTTTTGTGGAAATTTACTAGCTTGAGTAGTCATAGACCTTGTCAATAGATAGCCTTAACTTAGATAAGGACAAGTGAATCATAGGCAGAGTCATAGTGACCTGTCCCCTGAACCTTCACCCAGCCGATACACTGTTCAGAAAGATATTTGTACTCCCCCTGAACACCCATGCTCCAGTGTCATCACCTTCCCCTCTTCCTGCCTTTCTGTGTTTATAACCCCTGTGTGAATAAGTAAAAATTGTGATTTGATTTAAAAAAAATTAATAAATTGAAAAAAGAGAGATTTTAGTTTTAAGATGTGATTTTAGGTTGGAAACATCTCAACTTCATTCTTGTTCCAGTTCCATTCTTTCTGCTCACGCTTTCCCTACAGCTCTCATGCCTTCAAATCCAGTGTTAGCTGCATGACTTTTCACTGTGTATGTTTTGGCTGCTAACAGGAAGAACCACCTTAACAGATCCTGGAATACAGCTTTTCTGTGTTGACTTTTTTTTTCTTTTTTCTTTTATGTGTACTGGTAATTTCTCTATTTTAATTTTTATGATTTTTGGTGCTTTCCCTGTATGTTTGACTGAGTAAGGGTATCAGATCTTGGAGTTTCAGACAGTTGTGAGCTACCATGTGGTTGCTGTGAATTGAACCATGTCCTTTGGAAGAGTATTCAGTGTTCGTAACCACCGAGACAGCCTTATATCTACCTTGTGTGTTGACTTTTATGAAACACTTCCCAAAAGACTTTACCTCAATGATCCTGTGCTTTTCTTTCATTTTTTATTGGTTATTTTATTTATTTACATTTCAAATTGTATTACCCTTCCTAATATTCTCTCTGCAAATTCCCTATCCCACCCTAGCTTTTCCCAGCTTCTATGAGGGAGCTCCCTTATCCATTCACCCACTCCCTCCTCACTGCCTTAGCATTCCCTTATTTTGGGGCATTGAGTCTCTACAGGACCAAGGGCCTCCTCTCCTATTGATGCCAGACAAAGGAATCTTCTGCTACATACGCATCTGGAGCCATGTGTACTCTTTGGTTGGTGGTTAGTCTCTGGGAGTTCTGGGGCATCTGGTTCGTTGATATTGTTGTTCTTCCTATAGGGTTACAAATTGTTTCAGCTCATTCAGTCCTTCCCCTAACTCGTCCATTAATGTCCCTGTGCTCAGTCCAATGGTTGGCTGTATCTTCATCTCTACTGATCAGGGTCTTCCAGAGCCTCTCAGGAAACAGTCATACCAGGTTCCTGTCAGCAAGACTTCTTGGCATCAGCAATAATGTCTGAGTTTGGTGTCTGCAGATGGGATGGATCCCAATGTGGGGCAGTCTCTGGACAGCCTTTTCTTCAATGTCTTCTTCACTCTTTCTTCCTGTTAATTTATACAGGAACAATTGGTTGTGAATTTTTTGAGATGGATGGATGGCCCCATCCCTCAACCAAGGACTCAGCCTAACCTCTGGATATAATCTCTACAGGTTCTCTCTCCTCTTTGTTGAGTATTTCAGCTAATGTCATCCCCGTTGGATCCTGGGAGCCTCTTGCTTTCCTGGCATCTGGGACTTTCTAATGGCTACCCTCAGTTCTCCATCCCCCACTGTTACACTCCTCTGTTCAAATTCTTAACCCGCTATACTTTTCTTTCATTTCCTCCCACACCTGATCCTGCCTCCTTTTTTTTCCCCTCTTCTCTCTCCCCAAATCTCGTTTTCCTTCTATCTCCCATCGTTAATTTGTTCCCCCTTCTTAGCAGGACTGAAGCATTCACACTTTGGTAATAATAAATTTTCTGATGTTTTGTAGATCCCATAATGAGTTCATTGTAACCTTGTGTTTTATTACCACTCAAATACCAGGATTACATCACATTGTGCATTGCCACTGCAGTAGTATTAGAGTCCAGTATCTAATTGTGTATACTTGGAGAGTCCAAAGTTATTATTAGGGGAATTATTAAGAACTATTCTGTATGGAGTGTGAAAACAGGTAATGACACAGGTTATAACATGTCTCCGAGAGAAAGATCTAGTCATCAATTAAAAGAGTACAGGACATTGTGAATACACAATGAACCTCAAGGGTACCCACATGATCAAGGCTATTACTTTAGTATATATAACTGTGGTATACCTCTACCATATTCATTTATTCATTTAGAAAATTAGCTCCTGTGGCTTAGAGCCTGGAAGAAGTGTGATCATGGCCCTGGCCCACATGCCTCACTTGTCATATCAGGGCAGCAAATATTTAACATCTTACTTTGCATGCATGGAGCTTCAGGATCTTTCCCACCCATTTCATCTCATAAATAACTCCAAGAAAATGGAGAACCAAATTGAAAATCCACCTTAAATCATGTGTTCATGGCACCCCTTGGAGACTTCCTTTGTAATCAGGTTCTAGTCGAGTTGTAAAAGTTATCAAGTGGTCATACTCTAAATGCTTTATGGTGGGAATTTATACAAAGACAGTGTGGACATAGGTCAGATATGTTTGGCTTTCTTAAAGAAACTGTTCACCAGAAAATAGTTGATGAGCATGAACAATTTTATGAGTCACATTGAGGGAGACTGAGGGGGCATAGAAACGGAAGTAGCAAGGGTAAGTATGCTGTAATTATTTTACAATAAAGAGTAAGCTTATATTGAAATATATATGGAAACAACATGAAAATATTAGCTGTTACACAATTTATATTTTTTAATTTACTATTAGTTGATGCATCTAATCTGAAGTTATTTGATAAAGTCTTTTATTCTATTGATATTGTACTGTGGCAATTTAAGTCATTATAAACTAGAATGAAGTACTTAGGTGTTCATGCTTGTACCCATGTAATGCTTAGTCATGGGCAGAAATTCATGCTCATGAAATAAGAGGACTGACAAATATGTAAATGATATATTTGACAGAATAGTAATTTTTACATAAATGAGTTTCTGTTTTGTATACAACTAGATTAATATATTGACATTATTTTTGTATTGTAACATATTATTGTATTCACTCCTAACATATTAAGAAGCAATTACTGTCTTAGCTCTTTCTAAGTTAGATCCCAAGTCCTGAAGCAGAAAACATAGAATACCATTGCTTATACTAAGTCTTCCTTTAGCAACTTATATCATCAGTAGATAATATTTATTCTTGTGGGTGTATTCTCTGTTACGAAACTTTACTCCTTTAGGCAGTAGGAAAGATCATAGCATTCAGTAAGTAAAGTTGATGGCAGGTTTCATAAACATAGTTTGAAATATTATAAAGCTGAGTAATTGTTTGGGGAAAGGAGACTGTTGGAGCTGCCTGCTCTTAGGCCAGTGATCTCCTTTTCTGAACCTTCACTGAATAATTATGCACATTATATGTTGAGTAATTAGTAATGAAGATGTCTTTATGTCACTCGTTATTCTGTAACAGAAACCATTCAATTTGGTTCATTGATCTGAAGTTCTTTATAATAGTTTTTATAACTGTGATTGGGCCATTAATCCTGATACTGGGCTAAACAGACATTCATTCATATCTCCTCAGGGTATAGCATTCAAAAGAATCACAAAGTCAGTGTTTATTTTTAAAATCTGCCATGCTCAATAAGCATTCTGTATTTAGGTTTAATTACTGTACTATGTTGTCTGTATATTTTCATACATATATAACATTTATAATTTTTTGTGTAATGTTACATTTATTTAAGAATTTTATGGTCCATGAGTTGTTCAGGTTCAAGAACATGTAATTTTTTTATTGTCTTCATTGGCATTTAGTACAATTTTGTATGGCTCTCATATGGTACGACTGTTGGTCATGCTGAGTCAAAAATCTGTTATTTCAGTCATGCTATCTTCAACCTAAGGCTGTGGAAGTACTTAGAAGCTCAGCATTTGGTTCATATGTGTATTTTATAAAGATCATTTTAGAAAGATTTTTTAGATCCTGTTTGCTTATGTAAAGTTTTAAAAAATCCTTTTGTGATTATAATGTGCTTAATCATTTATTCTTTCATTTGCCTCATTTCAAACACTTTCATATACTATTCTGTTAACTTTCAAGTGTGTTGCCTCTTTTTCAATTCCTCATCATCACATACATATCTGTTGGGAGCCGCCACGAGAGCTGACAAAGTCCGCCATCGCTAGGTGGCGCTGTCGCCCGTAATTCTTCCTAGTACCAAGTAAACTGCGCATGTGCCATGGTAAGCCCGCC